ATTACCGCAAGGCGTCTTACGGGTGGTGATCCTCAGCTTGCGCGTCGGGAGGCGCAGCGGGCCACGCAGCTCCACCTTCTCGTTGCGGGCGTGCAGCAGCAGCTCCGCCATCACGTTCTCCACCGCCTTTGCGTTGCGGCTCGTCATCTTCACCAGCACGCGCTGTGTCTCCTGCAGAGGGACCTGGTCCTTCTTAACGTAGGCCATTCGTTCGTGATCACACCTGCGCGGGGCAACGCAAGCAGGCAAGGAGAAAGCAAAACAAAGCGGGGCAAAAGAAAGAAGAAGAAGACAAAGCATAAAGGGAGACTGCAGCGAGAGAGACGCCAGGCCAACCAAACAAACAAAAAAACACAAAAAAAAACGAACATTCTTCGTGGCGCAATGGAACGGCAGCACCATCACGCGGAGACACTACTTCTTCTCTTTAAAAAAAAATGTGAGATAAAGCGGAGCGTTTTTTTTTTCGTTTTTTGTTGTGTGCGTGCTCTTCGAAAAGGTGTTTATACAAATGTTTTCTTCGCCAGCTCGTGTGTCATCACAGGATTGGGGGAAAGAATTTGCTTCAGATCGGCACCTACTGGAATAAACACCTCGGCGTCCCGCACCTCAGAGGAGCCTTGCGTTGCTGTGGCTCCTCCCTCGGCGGGCAACGTCAGGAATTCACTAGCCACAAATGCCCACCACCGCCTCTCGCGTGCAATGTTTGCCTTCTGGGAATGGCGAAGAAACCCCAGCAGGGTGGCGTCCGAGTACATGTCCCACGGGGCGAGGTGCAGTGCGTGAAGAATGCGGAAGGTGTGAATTAAAAACGCCTTCTCGGCCCCTTTGCGAAAGACGCAGCGTCCCAGGGCAATGCGACGGCCGTATTTCTTCTCGTCCAGGGGGAGCTCCATCCAGTAGTTGTTGCAGGGAATACGCAGACGACCGTTCCAATGCTGAGAGCCCTGGTAGTGCTTCATGTACGACCACTGCTCGCCCCTCGCCCAGCCCACCGTCTGCAGATACGTCTGAAATAGGGCCCGGAGTATTGTGCCCGTGTCGGGGAAACCCAACTTGTAGCAGTTCTCCGGTTCGACGTCCTTTACGATGTCAAAGTCGGAGGCGTCGGCCATGATGAGGTTCCACACATCCTGGTGCGGCGGAATTCGCGTGGTTGAGCACCCCGGTGCCTCACGATACGCCGGCGGGGAGCGGATGTGAACAGAGATGTGGTGATCTTCACGAGCACCCCCCGAATCACGTGGAAGTATCAGGCCAAACTGCCTTCGCAACGCTAACAGCTGCTCCATCTTTTCCTTGTTTTGTGTCACGGGGACGTTGAGGGCACACAACGTGTCAACTGCATTTAGTGCGGCAAGCTTGCGTGCGGTCTCCGGGGTTGCACCAATGGCACTGCCACCACGCACACCATACACCTCTGGGAGCGGCAAATAAATGCTGCACCGAAACTGAGCATTCTCAGCGTAGACGTAGTTGACGTAGGCCGACTCGTAGGGGTGCCTCTGCTCCACCATAAACTGCCGCACAGCCGACACAGACGACTCCAACAGCTGCTGATACACAGGCTGCGCGCAGATGTCAACCTCAATGAGGTGTTGGCGAAGGTCCGCAACGACGCGGCGATTCAACGCCACCAGTTTCTCTGACACACTCAATGGGGCTCCCCGCTTTCGTGTCTTTTTGATGCGGTGCCATTGCTTCAGTGGCTTTGGCAACAACGATCGCGCCTCGTCATCCAACTCCCGCGGTAGTGGCGACACCAGGCGACCATGCCGCAGGCACGCATCGTAGTGTTTCGTCTGCTCCACCACGTTGGGTGACAGTGGGATGCCAAGGAAGCCCAACAGCAATTCCGCATGCATTGCGCAGAGCGAGACGGCGTGCTCAATACTCAGCGCCTTCCCCACAGCGCGCAGCGCGGGGTAGTGTGGAACAGGGGCAGTTGCGGTGTACCACTTCAAGTATTTTTTGCAGTTTGGACTGAAGCCTATATCCACCTGCGTCAATTCCTCCTCCACGCAAGTCTCGACACAAGCATCAAACTGCACCTGAAGCTGAGACTTGTACAAACCGTCAATGCGCTTCACGGCAAAGGGGTCAAAGAGGCAGACAAGTCCAGGCAACTGGTCATGAATCCACCAGGTGCCCTTCTCGCCCTCAACCAAATCAAAGACGCCACCTTCACTTTCGTCAATGAAACCCGCGACACGGTGCTCGTTTAACGGGCGGGAGTTAACCACCGCGAGGAGCATAGCCGGGCAATTAGAAAAAGGTGTTGCATCGGACCTGAGAACAGGATCTGGCAAGACATGACTGGGCTGCAAGAGCTCCACCTCCGCCGGGTCAATTGTAATGGATGCGCCCTCCTCATCCTCGTCCTCCATTCCTGGCTGCTGCGTGTTGTGTCGGAAGATGCGGGCCTGCAGGTAGGCAAGTTGCCCGGCCATTCCACGCAAAAAAGGATCACCCCCAAAACGTTGTGAGAACTCATTATAACGTCTTTTCGTGGTATGGTAGTTTGGTTGGTAGCTGCGCAGCGCTGGGTAGGACGCCTCCGAGGCTTGCTGCGCCGACGCACTCCTCGCGTCACCGCCTGCCTCCGCCTTAAACCACACGGGGAACGGAAGGTCAGAGAGACGTACCTCCTGCAGAGGATCACCTGGCATTGGGGCAAAACGGCCATCACGTTTTGCCTCCTCGGCCCGCTTACGCTGCAGTCGATCGGATGTAAATAGAGGGATCCCTAACACATCCAGGCAACGCTCAGCATGCATGCAGGCGGCAATCACAGCGTCCTTCTCTTTTTGGGCATACCCCACTGTCCGCAGTTTGGTGTGTTGCATGACGCCAGAGAGCAAGGCCTCTACCGGAAGCAGCATCTCTGCCTGATACAGTGCCTTGTCTGACGTTTTTGTGATTACGAAAGGAGAGGCCTTCTGTGCGTTGTCCTCCTTCACCGGGAGGTGGCGGCTCAGGTAGTTAAGTATACGCGACTTTGCAAAGACGTCCAACGCCTTTACGACGCAAACGTCTTGAGCGGGCTGTTGCTCTGTTGCTTCCTCTTCCATCATTGAGGGAACCTCCACCGGGGCTGCGGTGGGCACCCCTGTCTCGTACGCGCGGCGGCAACACACCAGTGCGGGACAAAAGAAGCGCGTTGCCACCAACGCAGATGCAGCCCGCGATGTTTCCTTCAGCCGCTCCAGCGACGCCGCACCCCCAGCCGACGCACAAAAAGGGAGAGTGCGGATGCAGAGAAACAAGGGATTTTTTGCAGCATTACTGAGCGACGTTAGACGCATGTCAATGACATCACCGCCTTTCTCCTTGCTCCTCTCGCTGATGCAAATAGTGTTGACCGCTAGAAAGATCCCCCCTACTCACCGCCAACACAAGGGGATGGAAATATATAAGCCAGAGAGAGAGAGAGAGAGGCCAGCATGTTATTTGGGGCAAAGCACTCCGGTTGCCCCGCGGCCAATTTCCTTTTCGGCATAGAGACCAACAACAGCAGCAGTCGTTGCACAGGATATATATATATATATATATATTTATTTGCTTCGGAATCGAAAGGAGGAGAAGTAAAAAAGAAAGGGACTCAAAGTCCATTCTGGTAGTACAACAGCAAACGTGATGAGGCCTCTTGGCGTGAAGCGGCATCAAGCATGTCAAGGCATCTCTCTCGCTCTCGCTCTGCATGCAAGTGCCATTCACGCAGCACCCATACGCCAACGAACTAAAAAAAACAAAAAACAACAACAACAGAAAAAACACAATTAGGCAAAAAAACCCATCCACGCATCCAAAAAAAAAACCCCAAAATACGCGTCTGGCTAAGGATTTCACACATCCCCACAACAAAAAAAAAAAGGCACAGATACAGATACAGTCCAATAGAAGGCCGAAGTGTTGATTCAGTGTGCACCCGAGACATCCCAATTAAGAGGGAAACGGACAGACACACACTCTCACCCACATAAACACAAAACTAAACTTTGAAGGCATGTGTGGCGATAACTGGGCTCTCGTTGGGAACTTACAAGTAGGCCATCTATCGGGACTCGTAGCCGCCCAAACTGGAAGGCAGTGGTAGTAGCAGAGAGTTACAGCGGGCAAGGAGGGAAAACAAGAGCAAGGACCCTTGCAAAAGTAAGATTAAAACAACAACGACAAAAAGATATGGCCTTTATAGCAGAGTCCTCTAGTAGGACATGATGCTTGCCTCTTCTTCCCCGTTCGTGGCTGCTGTGACGTTTGTTGGCCCTCCTGGTGGGACGGGGTGTGGTCGGCGAGCAAGGGATCGCATTCCGAGACGACGCATGACGCTTTCCAGCCCTTTTGTTGTGACGCTCAGTTCGTCCCAAAGAAGGTCGCACACGCAGCGCTCAGCACAGAGAAGCACATTCGTGTCACACCCGCCTAGCGCGGCGAGCTGGACGGTTAGCGCTTCACCATCGGTTTCGGCGAATTTATCTTCACCGACCTTCAGACTAAGCAGCAGCGAGGCGGTAATGAAAAGCTGCACGTTCCAAAACTGCAGACTAAACACGGGGCTTCCAGCACATGCGTAACACAGAGAGTCATCATCAGCAACATCCGACACAGGTCCCATTGAACGCACTTCAGACGACATAGAAGAACAAAGAGGGGCATGTTGGCAGCTGTCGTCGGGCAGCATACCGTCATTGTCATGTACCCACCTCGCAGTCAAAGCAACGTCTTGCGTGCCCTCACTCGCATACAGGTGAATGTCCTCACCACCGCGTCTGCACTGAGAGATACTCCGTAGGGAAATAATACTTTTCTGCTGAACCAGTATGTTTCTCGTCTGAATGCGTTCCACAATCCAGAGACAATGCAAAATAGTATCCATGCTGCATCCAAATTGGTGCTGAACTGTGGTAAAAAGTCCCGTGATATACTCCTCCAGCGTGACACCAAGCTGTATGGGGGAACTACATAACCGCCGTCCCATCGTTCCGAGCGGAAAAACTTCGGCCGCAATGGCCGCCTCGAGTGACGCAGTGTTTGGCGGCGTCACAGGGATACCGCCGTGGTGCAGCCCAAACGGTAAACCAAAGGCGGTAGGGTTAAATGCATTGAGGCATCCCTCGTTACTGCAGACACCGACGGCAACGATGTTCTTGATAAACGCCGCGGCCGCCTCCAGAAACGGACTACATGACGTCATTAGACGGCTACTTCCATGTAAGTCATAACAATCGCGGTGATGGCGGGTGAAGGGTGAAGGGGGTAAAAAAAACCAGCAACAAATGATGCACACACACAAAGATACAACCCGTCAAAATAACAATAATAAAAATAAATAATGGATGTTACATTTACGAAACAATAGCAAACAGTCAACATGGCGTCGGGGAATTTGCAACGGCGCCAGTGGCAAAACGATATTGATGTATAGTGCGCTCCGTTCAACGGAGTCGAGTTCGGTGACGATGGCCTCACGGGTCCGGGCGAAAAGGTACGCCCCGCTCCGGATCCAGTTCTTGAGCGTGGAAGCAGCGAAAGTGTACCGCCTTCAAATTCGGAAAGACTGCCATCACTCCCACCCCGAGGGGTGTGCCACAGACGGCACAAAGCCGCTTCTCATCCACGTACACACACCGCTGGGCAAGCAAGGCATGACGCCGTTGCCCATCAGCGACCATGGAGGCCACCGAGTTGGCGTTGATCGCCGCCATCTGAACTTGGCTGCACAGCGTCTGAAACGCCCGCAGGAGATAAGACGATATCTCCCCCACGCAAACCTCACTCGGTAGTGTGGCCATAACCGAGAGCGGGTTAATGCGGCGAGAGTGCTCATTGAGAACCAAAAACGCCTCCGAGAGCAGCCTATCCTTACCAGCTGGAGGAACCAAAAGCACGTGCAAGAGGATGTTGAAGTACTCATTGAAGGTATGACCTCCCTGAACCGCGTAGCTGTTCCCCGCGAGCCACACGGAGTCATCCCTTCCAGCGCACGTCGCTTCTGAAGACGCGTCACAGATGGACAACAGCGCAGGGCCACTAATCTCGTTGTTATTGACCTCTCCTTGTAATGCGAAACGACTCCGACGCAGCAGCTCGCGTGCATGCTGCTCTTCGCAATACCGCACGGCGGCGGCGACGTCTGTTAGCTCGTACACAAGCTTTGTCAGCGCCCCAATATGGTCGCCAGCCTGCTCCATCGCCAGCACCTGCTCCTCGACCAAGTCTGCACCGTACAGTAAAGCAAGCACCACATCCACTTCGTAGTGAGGGCTAAGCTGAAGGAACGTCAGCAGCGCCCGACGTGCCGCCCCTCGTATCCCAGACTCCTCACCCGCCCGTAGTTTGGCAGCAGGTGCCTTCAAACCCTCCACACCGAATGACTGCAGACTGCGGATGATGTCAACAAGATTTGTGGCGTAGAGCGTGTGCAACTCCTTCTGTGTGTTCCCCTCCACAAAAATAAGGTAGTGTAGATAATCGTGCAGCGGGTAACCACCGTACCCAAGCAGCATCGGGAGAATAGTTGAAACCGACGACGGTTGCCGATGCGGACGCAGCACTGCCAACAGTGCAGAGCTGATATCTGCACTCAGCATCCAGGGAAAGTACTGCACGTACAGCGCTTCGTCGCCGCTCATTTGCAGCACAACGGCAGCCTCATGTACAAGACGCTGTGCTTGACAGCATTCCAGCGCCTCCGAAAACCTCCCGTCACAGGCAAGTACCAATGGAAGAATCATCGGTTTAGGTCGTATGCCATCCTCAGACACGTATCGTAAACATTCGTGAGGGTCCAGAGTCGAGGAGAAGAGAAACATATCAGCCAACTCATCGTCCGTGTACGGCACACATTCGAGTACATAAAGAAGAAAAATGGCGAATTCAACCGCACGCTGCTCTTCTGTGTGGCTGCCCAACCCGGAAAAGCGACGGCGCGAAAGCAGTTCATACAATTCATGATAGGCCTCACCACTACTCCACGTCAGCGAGACTGTGGCATTCAATGCATCGTTGGCCTTCGACGGGAGTCGCAGCTCCGGCACAAGTTCCAACAACTCCAGTGTGGGCGTTGACGCCAATTCAAAATAGTAAAACGCCTCGGTGTACCGCCTGCCCAACAATGCATGGTGTGCACAGACGTTATAGACGTGCTGCAGTTGTGTATCCTTCTCTGCACTTTGGATGTAATCGACGTAGCGCAACGCACGCTCATAGAAACCGGCATTGATGTAGAGTGCCACTATAGTCTTCCTTGGCATCAGTAGAAGGAGCTGCACGCTGCAACTACATACGCCGTAGAGGCCCAGAGGCATGGAGTGTATCTGCTGCGGGGTCCCGTCAAACCCGGAGGTCGAGGAAACGGAGGAGGAGGCATTGATGCAGGGAAACTCTTCCTCATCGTCTAACCACGACCGCATCAACACCCCTCCGTCCGCCTTGACACCAACAAAAAAGGGCGGCGCCCACGCCACATCAACGACGGCTTCTGACATCTGAACCGGCGTCGCTGTTTCAAGGTCCGTCTCCGTCGTGGCATCAAACAAGGTAAGCTGGTCATCACCGACTCGAATGACGATGTAGGAGCTGTCTCCGAAACCATTCACATACCGGCAGAGAGGACCTTGCGAGACGCTCTCCACCATCTCCATTCTTTGCCGCAGGCGACGAGTATTTACATCAAACACGCAGTACTCTTTTAAACTACCTGTAACGATAAAGTCGCATTGCCACGCCATGACTTGTGTGTGTTCTGGCGCCAGGATACACAGAGATTCCGCGGCAACGGTTTCTTTTGCCTCAGTCCTGTTTTGAAAAATCCATGACCTTCGATCCACGTACTCTACGAGAGCAATCCACCTCCCGATAAGTAGGGCGAGACGCTGTGCAGGATGTAATGCGTGATCCTGGCCTCGGGCCACACAACAGACACTTGCGGCACCGGAAGGGAGAGTGAGCTGCCGAAACAGCCCTGTACTATCCAGGTTCTCACAGTGAAGGGCGTCAAGAGATCCATCCACCAAGACTAGCAGCTGTGGCACGGACAACCTGCTATTTACGTTAAGAAACGTAATACCGTGGGAGATGCGATTGGTGTCCTTCTTGCCCTCGATGTCATTGTCGTGTGTTGTTGAAAGTGACTTTTTCTGCAAAAAGGTTGTTCTCACGTCGTATCGTACCCCCTCCTGGTCAAGGCACGTAACAGTGCGGCACACATGCAAGTTGCCGTCAGAGCATCCGACGTAAAGGAGGCTCCGCAGCTCCTCATCAGGGGAGAGATGCATGTCTCGCACCACCAGCTCACCGCTGCTTCGCTCCAAAGGAAACACCACTGCAGCCGTCACACGTATTTTTTCATGTGTAGTCACAAACAGTGTCTGGCGTTCCATATCTCATCCCCCAAAACAGAAGCCGCCTCTGTGGCTTGGGGGGGGGGGGGGGGGGAGGCAGCAGTGTCTCTCCCTGGTGTCAAAAAAGATCTACTGTTTACATACAGGCAAAAAAGGCCATGCGATAAGAGTAAGATCGACAGAAGGAAAAAAGAGCATTGTGGCATACACTATATATATACATACATCCACAGAAGCAGGTATGGGTGCATAGAATCCATACCAGCAAATAGGTGGGTGTGTGTGGTGCAACATACACACACACACACACAAGCGACTCTGCAGGCAACGAAGATCCCAAGACACAACAAAACGTCTCACTACTAATATTAAATAAAGTTCTCGGCGTTTACTTGCAACATCGGCTACTGCACCCTCCCTTCCTCCTCCTTATTTTTGTTGCCCCACGCCCCCACGCCTCTCTCCCTCCCAGTGCAACCTTCCAGATGGTGCACCAAACACGTTCAGTTCTTCACGACAAGGGAGCAGCGAAGAAAACGTACACACACGCGCGGACACACAAGAGAAAAGAGGTGGGGAAAGGGGGGATTAGCAAGCCAACAGACAAGCAAACGCACAAAAACCAAAAAAACAAACAAACAAACATATTCCTACTCTAAACACCATTATGCATGGCATCCCTACAACTATGAAGTATACTACGAGTCACCTCTCCTTCGTTTCATCCATCCCTCTCTTTTTTGTTTGCTCCTTTTTTTTTTTCCCACCCCCTGTATTCCCATCTGCTTCCTACTGCTGGTGCCATTGCCTCACCATACTTCCCTCTCACAACCACTTCTTTCGCGTTTCGTCCCTCCGTCTGCGTGAGTGCGGTGGACAAGACAGGACTCGCTCCTCACAATGCATAACCAACGCGGCATCCTCCCTCCCCCTTCCCACGCGTGGAATAAAAACACAGCCGAGCAAGCGGCACCCCCCACTTTCTGACACAGTCTTGTCTTTACTTTCTACGCGTGGGAAACTTCAAGACCTAACGAAGTGTGGGGAAAGGGCCAGGGCTGTGGCCACTCTTATCTTCATGCGCAATATCCATCGGCAGCAGCTTGCCCTTACCAGCTGCACCATATCCCTTGTCAAGCGGTCCAATGAGAAGTTCGTCTTCACGGCCCACAGACTTGACGTACTCTCTCCACGTGTCGTTGGCCGCCACACCAAGCTTGGTGAGCTCACGATACGGGTCAGGCACGAAGTACTCCGGTGCACGATGAATCCAGCGGAAAACGGGTTGGTCAAGCTCATGCTTCTTGTTGAATCGCTGCGCCGAAATCCACGGCTTCGTCGTCCAGAGACCAAGGTTATAAAGCGTGAGGTCTGGATGCAGGAAGCAGAGGCGGTAGCAGTACCAGAGGCTGTAAAGTGTCACAAGAACCGACACGACATTGCAAGGGAGACCCTCCACAGAAAAGGCCTGAACGCGCATTTTCTCAATGGTGCTCACTTCCAGCCAGTGAACGTACCGGCCGTACGGATTGCGAGAAAAGAATCCCGTTGCAAAACCTTGTGGAAGACTGTTGAAGCGAAAGCGGTAAAGCCAGTGGATGGGTTTGGCCGAAAATCCTTCAAGATAGCCGGTGCTAACACCATCATGCACACTCGAAATGAATGGGTTGTGGGAAACGGGCTTCACATACACGCCATGATCCACGACGTTCGACCTGGCCATACCGCCGCACATCTTCGTAGTGACGCGTGACATCTCTGCGAGAAAACACCTTCTTTATAAGTTTTGTACACACGTGTAGAGAAGAAACAAGACGAGTGGAGGTGGGGGAAAAGAACGCAGCACTCACTCACGTACCAACAACAACAAACAAGCACACAGGCAAATGAACAAACAGAAACTAATAAGAATCATACCGTATACACCCCGTGGAAAACATCAAAGGAGAGACACCCCACCCCAACCCATACAGTGACATCGCAGATGTTACCTTCACTGTCCTCTCAGCATGGTTCGCCTCCACAATATATATATTATATATATTATAATGTATTTATGCATTGGTTCTTCAGCCGCTCAAGCGGGGGTAATTACTTCAATGTATCGACTATTCACCATTGCGCTGCCGCAGCGTCGCAACTCGGTGCGCGCGCCTTCCCTCACCGTACTACCAAACCCACCGTGGCTCCACACAAAGTGCACAACGTCCTCCAAAAAAAGGTCACCTTTATCCGCGTCCACCGCCGTCAGTCGGCCCTCCAGCTCGTGGTTCTGGTAGGACAGGAGAACAATCACACGTCGACCGTAGAGACTAAGAAGAAACTCATGCGGAAGAATTGGCTGGGGCTTTTCACCTGCCTTCTTCGCCGCCGCAGGCGTGGGAGCGGGAGCGACGACGTTGAACTTCACATTCCCGCTCATCACTCCACCGTGCGGGTTTCTCAAATACAAGTGGACCAAATCCAACGCCCCTCTGCCCAAACCACACTCTTCACCCCCCCCCCCTTGCACTTCCTTCCTTTCTTCAAGTAATCTTTTGAAGCTGCAGCCACGCAGGCCCACAACGGGAAGCAGAGAAAAACAAAGAAACAAGAACAAAAGGAAGGGAAACCCACTGTCTGTCACATGCTCCACTTTCCCCCAAAATGACGCACACACAGACACAACAGATAAGCAGATAGATTGAGCCTCTCTATCTAAGAAGGCGTACGCACGTATAACCTTCTTCTGTTAGGAAGTGAAATTAGTCAAAAACAAATAAAGGACAAAACCACAAAAAGAGAAGTAGCAAAAGGCAACTTGAAATACCCCCATCGCGACGTACATGCATTCTCTACAGACGACGGCCACGGCGAGAGCCCTTGCGGCGAGTAGAGTCAGTCGGAACCGGGGTCACGTCCTCGATGCGGCCAATCTTCATGCCAGCGCGCGCCAAGGCACGAAGGGCGGCCTGGGCGCCGGGGCCAGGGCTCCTCGTACCAACACCGCCAGTAGCGCGCATCTTAACGTGCAACGCGTTGATTCCACACTCCTTGCAGCGCGCTACAACGTCCTGTGCGGCCATCATGGCGGCGTAGGGAGAGCTCTCGTCACGATCCGCCTTCACCTTCATACCACCGGTAACCTTGCAGAAGGTTTCGCGACCCGACATATCCGTCACATGAACAAATGTGTCGTTGAAGGACGCATAGACGTGCACAACGCCGTACACCAGCTCGTCCTTTGCGGCGCTGGAGCCGTAGAACTTTGCTTCCTGCTTCTTGGACATGGTGGGGCTTGTATCACCTTTTTACTTCCCGTTTGTTGGTTTTGGTGTTTCACGCGTGTGCAATAAAAAAAAAAACAAAAAACGGCAACAGCAACAAGCGATGGAAAAAAATCACAGTAACAGCGGCATGAAGAACACGAAACAATTGTAGAGGTAGTCGCTGGCAGCACCTCTTCAGAGGACTGCCACCAACGCCACTCCACATCTCATTCTCTTAGCTGCTGCCACAACATATTTCTACATCAAAGTTCCGCCACGCCAACGTGCCGGCGTGTCACAAGCTCTCTTGCACCCACCTCCACTGCAGTTTCTCAAGCCTCTTCCGCCATCTACTGTGGAAACAAGCATGCATGGTCCCTTTCCTGCACAGAATAGGTAACACGCAGACATGCAAGTAAAAAATGAAAAATAACAAACGCGGGATAAGCGGCGAAACGGGTCATACAGAAGCCTCATCTTATTCCCAATAAAGCGCGTACAAAACGACATTGACGTGCATAGATCCCGTTGAATGCGTGTACGTCGCGTAGCCGTCCGTCACAGGATCCCACAGCCCTCGCGAGACAATCCGAATTCCTTGATGTGCAGCCTCTGTGATGGTCACATGCGTCACAAACTTGTACCGCTCATACCCGAGTCGCACGACACGTTGCTGTATTTCGCTACATACTTCCTTGATTAACATCTGCACCTCGTCGTACACGTAGGGCCGCTCCCCCACGAGCAAGCGACACACTTCCTCAATGACACCCTCCACCACACTTGCGCGGAACTTCGTGCCAGGCACGGGAAGCGTGACGGAACACCGCGGTGCATCCCGATACTCGTTGGCCATTTTTGCGGCGTCACTGCCCCTTGAATGCACGCACACGTAGAGCCAGACCGTGAAAATCCTCCTACAGTCCCCGTCAAACCCAAATACCGTTACAACAAGAAGACGACAAAAAAAAAAAAAAAAAAATAAAGAACTAGCAACTGCCTCATCCACAACGACAAAAACATAACAAAACATTTGCCCAAACAAAAAAAAACACTGAAAACAACCAACAACGAAATAAAACAAAAAAAAAGACTGACCAAACTCCGGTAAACATCCACAAAACCACAGAGCAGCTCTCCCCCAAAATATAAGCTCACACACTTTCCACCCAAAATAAAAAAAACACAACACGTAGTCATGTATATCCCACTAAAAAAAGAACATGTCTCTTTCTACTTAAATATGAAGTATGTATGGAAGGCAAACATATGCAACAAAAAAGCAGATACCAGTATTTTCATGAAACTATACAATACAAATACAATGAGCACACAAGAAAGAGCCCTCATTAGACGCAATGCATATAATCAGTCAAACCCTTCCTTCCTACTTCCTTTCAATCCGTAAAGGGTGGCTGTGTAGTGTATTACTGATGCTTTACGCATCGCGTGCAGGGTTCCGTAGGGACGCGTTGCACGTTTTTTTTGGGTCCAGACGTGCGTTGCCTGTCCCCAATCACGACAGCCGCTCAAAGCCGCAGCACTGCCACGGCGACGGTGGCCACAAGAAGAAACGCAAAGGAACTGAAGCCAACGGCGGCCGCCGCACTGCCCGTGATGTAAGCGTAAGCATTTCGCGCCCACGGGGCAGGCCACCGTTAGACGAAGTGTGCGGAGAGCCCGCGCTCGCACGCTGGAGGTCCACCTCCCCCCATTTGAAGATAAACCCGCTGCCGTTGGCGGCGACGGTGCACACCTCCTCGTACCGGGGGCACTTGATCTTGCCGCCGTCCTTGAAGTGCTCCGACGCCGTCACTTGGATTTCGCCGCCCTCGGGGCACGGCTCAAAACCACTCCCGCCGAGGTACTTCACCTTCACCTT